GGGGGGGGGGGGGGCTGAGGCGGCATGTGCCCCGGGTGCTGCTTTAGGAGGGGCGCACCGCCAGGTATGTGGATTGGGAACTTCTCCCTGGGTGAGATTCTGGCCTTTGCACCGGTGACAGAATGTCTAGCTTCGCTGCTTGTTGGGACAAACAGTTTAATACTGACATATGTGCTTGCGACAGTCAGCATTTATTCATATACTTTAAACCTTTTTTCACCAAAATAAAGTAAAATTGTTCCTGTAACTGTTTGAAACTGTTAACCAGAGTTTGGTTTTGATTGTTTTGTCTTTTCTTTCAAGTCCATTTTAAATTACATGTCCATCTAAGATGACCCTGTCCCACAGGAAGACAATTCTGCTGTGTGATTTCACTGCAGAAAAAAAATAGCATTGTCACCCTATTACAGGAATTAAGTAAAATTGTAATAAAACTATGTTAAGGAGGACTAAGAAAAACAAAAACTGATGTGTTAATGCACCGATTAGCTAATAGCCACTTTATATATGGTATTTCTTTGAACAAAGACCTCCAATACAGCAACAAGCTCTTGGGACCTTTATTTTGTTTACAGTGATGGTTTACTCATTCAGTCTTCATGCTGATGAGGTCCAGTTAGCTGAAACAGTACTGCCCACAGGTATTTGTTCTGGCTCAGCAAAGGCCATATGATTGATTTAATCATCTAATAGGTGGGACATTCACTTAGACCCCATTCACACTGAGCGACATGGAAATCGTGCGACTTTGAGCGACATTGAGCGACGAGCGACATTGAGCGACATTGAGCGACGTATCGCGCGACATCTTCCTATTGGGCTGTATGCAATCAGGAGCAATATCGCTCAAAATCGCTCTAAAAAAGGGTCATGTAGAAGCGACAAGCTACCAGCGACGAGCTACAAGCGATATTGAGCGATATTGAGCGACATTGAGCGACGAGATGTGAACAGCTACATTGAAATGTATTGGTGAAGCTACATAGAGCGATATAGTGCGGAAATATGAGCGATATCGCTGCAAAAATCGCGCGATAAATCGCTCAATGTGAACGGGGCCTTAGAGGCCTGCCATATAAAACTATTGGAAATAGTTATTTGCATATAATTCTCGTGGAGCATTGTCTGAAAGTCTCCCCATCTGTACTTCATATTTCAGTGAAGTCAATAATACTGAATATCTTCTTTATACGTTAGGTCTACATATTAAGCGAAACAGAAATGGCAACTGCACCAATAAATTTGTAGCTAGCTTTTAAAGCAAGGTGCACATGGAAGAGCTTTGCACAGTACAAACACAACATTTTCAAAGCACATTTACCAGCTAGGCTGCAAAAAAATAAACAAATAAAACAAATTACACTGTGTAACAATCTGTTTTAGTTGCACAACATTTGCAAACATGTGTAATCCACATTGCCTCATCAAGGCTCCTCTGTGTAGGGTGGTCCTAACTCTAATCTATAGATGGGAGCCTCCATCTTTAACGCATATATAGCAACGGCTGAATTGGGTGCAGGTATGCCTGGAGGTAGCCTTTTCCTCCTTAAAACAGCAGGGACACACCTGAAGCCCAGCACATCACAATTGCAGCTCAAGCTGTCACAATGAGGGAAGGACTCCGGCTTGTTCGCAGGTCCACGTGCTGAGCCCGCCAGAAAGCTGACAGCGAGCAGCGCCAATCACAGGCACTGAGACATTTCCCGATCTCTGCAGCCCGGGACCGGGAACACACCTGAGTCCATCACTAGTCACGATCTGGGATCAGGCTCAGAGTCCAGTAGCTGAAACAGAAGGCAAATTCGTGGTATAACAGGCCGGGTTTGGTACACAAGCAGACGGTAGTATAGGAGCAGGCAGAAGCGTAGTCAGCGAACAAGCCGAGGTCAGTAGCCAAAGGTATCAGGTATGAAGCAGAAGACAATGAGAGTAGTCGGTGAATCAGCAGCCAAAGGTTGGTACACGGGTAGCAGTATGAGCAGATTGTATCACAGAGGAAGCAGGAAGCAAGATATTGGCAGGAGCACACTAATCTGGCAAACAAGAAGTGCATAGGCATGGCTTAAATAGGAAGTTCAAGGGAGTAGCAAGGAGTTCAGAGTTCAGCAGAAATTAGGTTTACCGGAGGATTACACATGAGAGCAGGCAAGTAGCTATCCAAGGTTTCAGAGTGGCTTAGCAGGTACAGCCACTACCAGACACAGCAGAGGCCCTGGGTTCAGATCTGGATCCTGACACAAGCCCCCAGTGTGTCCCCACACTAAATCCTGCGAGCTAAGCAAAATAAGGTTTTAGTTGTACAACATTTAAAATAGGGTGCACATGGAAGGGTTTTGCACAGTACAAACACACAAAAATTCCCAGCACACTTACCAGTAGGAATGTAGCTTTCCTTTTGATTGTTTGCACATCAGCACTTTTTCAGTCCTTTATGGTACTTTATATTCATTATTGGTAGGTTTTTTTGAAGACTTACACACAGGGTGTCACTCATGTTTTGATCCATATATATTCACACTTACCAGCTAGCCTGCAAAAAAATACATTAAAAAAAATAATGCAAAAAAAACCCACTGTCTAACAATATGAGTTAAAAACAGTGGAAGTGTCATTTTTTTTTCTGCAGCTGGTAAGTGTGCTGGGAAATTTTTGTGTAGAATTGCATATCAAGGCATGCAGTAATATTTTGGGCTTCTTCCACTTGCAATAAATTGGATCCAAAGTGTTAAATGTAGTCTTATAAAGATGTAGGTGTCTGTAATTTCACATATGTATTCCAGAATCCTGCTGCACTCCTTACAGGGTATCCCTGTCAGCGTGGGTGCTCGAAGTGACCGCGGATGGCGCTGCCAATACCTGTTAAACTTGTTAAAGATGTCCTCAGCACACCATATTGAAGCAAAGAACACGTCTGTTTATTGACGCTTCGGGGTTGATTTACTAACCTTATAAACACACCACAAACATGTATACACCTCTGTAGTGTGTTCCCTCCCAGCATGATCTATGGGTGGAATCTAAACACCTTTGTAGTGTGTACACACTCAGAAGGTGTGTTGTGCAAAGCCTTGCATGAATTGCAAGGTGATGTTGTGTTACTTGCGTTGATGAATGCAGGAATGTAAATGCATGAGCTAACCATTTTTGTCTAAACTGTGAAGCAGCATTATATATGCATCATGTGCATGATTTTTCCATATATGGCATTAGTGGAAATATGCTTTTAGAGACTTTTTGGTTGATAAATACGTTTTGCTGTGTGAAAATCACACGCACCTGGTGCGTGCGTGTGTTTAGGTTAGTAAATCACCCCCCTCATGTCAAAACAAATAGCAATGTTTTCGGGGCCACACAGGGTCCCCTTCATCAGGTAATTTCAAGCTTGGTGAAAGGGACCCTGTGTGGCCCCGAAACGTTGCTATTTGTTTTGACATGAAGCATCAATAAACAGACGTGTTCTTCACTTCAATATGGTGTGCTGGTGACATCTTTAACAAGTTGTAATTTCACAACGACACCTTTCAGTATATTTTGGAACTCATCATGCTATCCTGTTAATGGAAAAACTAAATGAATACACAGACAAATAACACATAATTAGTGTTATGGAAATTACTCCTTACTAAAACAGAATGTCCCTGCTTTTTTGGTTATGAGCCTTGTTAGGCTTGTTTTACACACTGTTAACTTGATGGCATTATGAAACCTACATATTACCTCTGATCAGATAGAATGTAAAATCTGTTTGAAAACTCAATAAAAATGATTTAAAGAAAATGACTCCAAACATCTTGTATATAATAATAAGTCAAGCATGTAAAATAAATATTGCAAATGTGAATTCAGGTTACGCATGTAGTGCTAGGATTCTGATGTCCCAGTTGTAGATGCGATTAATCATCATCCATCCGTCTTCACTTTGTGGGGCCTCAGGGTGATCCAGCAGATGGTATGTCTGGAGTTCAGGTACGCAGTACTAAAACCCCTGTGCACCTGATGCTCTCTGTTCAGCAGTTGTTTACAAATCTATATGAATTTAGTTACATAATTGTAAAGATACATATATACAAGTCGTTCACTTAATAATGTGTACTAACTTTGTTGCTGAACAGACTGCAGAACAGGACATGCTTGCATATACTCAGAGTATATTTACAAAAAAAGTATTAATAAAACACAATTGTGCAATAACCCATAGCAACAGTATATTTTTCTATGAGGGCTCATGCACACAGGAGTATTGCAGAGCAAATACAGGCATAATTTTATACAGTGTAAAAATGGTAATTGCTGTGCCTGGGAGCCACAGCTGCTGCGATTTTCTGTCTATAGCAATATATG